ACCGACCCCACTCCCACCCCTCTCAACCGCGCTCCACTCTTCTTCGGCGTTTGCACAGGCGGGGGCGGCGGCGAGGGCAGCGACCCGGCAATCCCTAGGGGATACCCGGGAATCACAGGCCCGAACCCGGGCGAGAGGCGCGGAATCTTAGGGCTGGCGGGCGGCGGGCGCACGAGATTATCATATACAGCGCACTTGGACGCAAAGTCAATGGTCTTGTAACCGAGGTAGCCCATGGAGCGATCGGCCACCATGGCGGTCTGGCCGTCGGGCGTCCAGTAGACCCACGGCGTGTTGTTGGCGAACATGGGCTTGCCCAGATTCGCCATCGTGCCCGTGGCGTATGTCGTGTCGTACGCCAATGCCGTCTCGTTCTGCACCAGGGGGGGGAGTGGAGGGGGAGGGAGCGGAGAGGGGAGTGATGCGTCATGGCAAAGGGGAAGGGAGCAGCAACACCACCGAGAGGAACAGTCATGGGGAGCCAAGCATGGAGAGAGCAGTGCATGTGGGAGGAGGAACAAGAGCATGGCAGGCGAGGCTGCTGGGCTGGGCGTACCTGGTCGAAGGAGCAGCCGGTCTGAGCGGCCTCGAGGTTGAAGAGGTACGGCAGGTCGCGCTTGCTGGTGGCGCCCAGGAACTTGGAGGCGGCGGGGCACGGCGAGCGCACGGCGAAGTAGTAGAGGTGCAGCGGCAGCTTGCACGGCGCGCCGTACCCCATGTAGAAGGGCGACGGGTATGCGCACTCGTCGAAGGGCGGGAACTGGTAGGCGGAGAGCGCGACGAGCGTCTTGTATGCGGGGCAGTTGATGTAGATGTCCGTCCACATGTCCGCGTACTGCTCCAACACACCTGCGCGCGGGGGAGACGGGGACGACGGGTGACGGGGAAAAACGGAGAGGGTACGATGAAATGAGGGAATGGGGAGAGACGGAGTATTAGACGGGCAACTGAAGCCTGGCGCGGTAAGGTACCGCGCGCGCGGAACGGAAAGTGCGCGGAGGGTGCGCGGAGCGGAGCGAGGGCGCGCGGGGCTCACTGTCGTAGAGCTTGATCCAGTAGTGCTGGATGATCTGCGCGGGGTCGACGCCCGGGTACACGTTGGCGAGGAACGTCTTGACGCTCGTCTCGTTGAGCTGCCACCACTTGCCGAACGACTCGAGCACGTACAGCCGCCCCTCGTCCTTGTTCGTCACCATCATCAGCGGCGCGGGGTTCAGCTGCCCGTTGGAGAGCATGTCGAGCGGCTGCTGCGGGATGACCTTGCCGTCGATGCACGGGTAGAAGATGCGCCGCTGCTGCCGGTATATGTCCTTCACCACCGGCGTCTTCGCCACTATGTCCTGCCACCGTGTCTGCACCAGGGGGAGCGGGAGAGTGGGGGATGGCGGACGAGAGCGCGATGAGCGAGGGCAGGGGGGAAGGAGACGGGGATGCGTGGGGAGTAGCGGGTGGCGGGCGCGGGAGGGTGCGGAGAGGGTACGGAAGTGCGGTAAAGAGGCTGCAACTAGAAGACAAGTTTACGAGCCAATACGATGGAGTGTCGCAGGGTGTCATGGGACTGACCTGTCGCAGGCACTCGAGTTGCGTCTCGGGGTCGAGGGGGCAGTTGAGCGCCTCGGCGAGCGTGTAGGTCGAGTCGTACGCCTGGCCGTGGGGCAACGGGGGGACGGCGGCACGAAGGCACCAGTGGGAAACGGGGAATACGTGAGCGCGAGTGACGAGGGGGACGTCGGGAGCAAGGCAACTGGCAGAGCATAGGCGCGCTAGGAACCCGACGGGGACTCACCCTGTTCTGCGTGAAGAGCGGGATGGCGGCGCCGTTGGAGGCGACGGCGGAGGTGAAGAGGTCCTTGGAGAGCGGACTCACCATGTGCAGCATCACGCTCACCGCGCCTGTCACACCCACACCCACGCACACGCACACGCACACGCACGGGCACACACGTAAAAACGCGAGGTGAGCGGAGAATTGCGGGGAGGCATGTGTGCAGGTCACGGCGCTGTCGGACGGAGCGACATGGATGGGGCTTCGAGATCATCACTGCTCGCACTCTCCCCCTTCGGGCTCGCCGCGCGCATCTCTAAACCTTGATTGGATTATGCATCCCACGCCTATCTACCTTTTCCCTCCACCTCGCGCCCGACAGTCGCACGCACCCTGCCCTGCACTCCATGATCAGCACGCTCGGATAACCCTCGAGAATCTTCATTCTAAGCCTTCCTACCCCTTCCGTCCGTCGCACGCCCAACCACCGTCATAAACCCGCTCATCCGTGCCGCAGTATGCGCACCTGCGTTGTGGCCCATGATCTGCACGGACGAGTTGCCGCCGAAGTACCCGATGTACTTGGAAATCCACTTGAGCGCCATCTGCTGGTCCAGCAGCCCTGCACGCACGCCGCGACCAGAGGGAGGGGTGGATGATAGGGAAAAACGACCACGAGGTAAGTCCAAAGCGGCCAGCGTAACCTGGCTCAGGCACTTGATCGGAAAGGCGAGGGGGGACACGGCGCGAGGAGCAATTCATGCAGGCGGCGAGTGGAGCGACAGGGAACAGGGTGAGGTGCGGGGGATTCGGAGGCGGGCTCACCCCAGTTGCCAGTGGTTTCGCCCTCGGAGAAGGTGGAGGGGTGCGCGAGGAAGCCGAGCGCGCCGAGGCGGTACTGCACGATGACGAGCGTGGTGTTGGTCTCGGCGACGGACTGGCAGCCGTTGACGAAGTCGTCGGACGCCGACCCCTTGTAGAACCACCCGCCGTGGAACAGCACGCGCACCGCCGTGCTGCTCGCCGTCGCGTTCGCCGGCGTGAAAATGTTCATGTACAGACAGTCCTGCGGTGCACAGCGGTGGGGAGGGGTGGCGCGGATGCGAGTAGATGAGCTAGGGTTGCAGGGTGGAGGGAGCAAACGGAAAGCATGCAATCGGAGGCCGGGCAGTTATCCGTTACGGCTAACAGAGGGACGAAGATTACGGGAGAAAAGTATCACCGCGAATAACACCAAACACCGAGCCATAACTTGCAAGCTCCCCGACCAACCCCAAAATCACCCTTCAGAAACTCGACTCGCGTAAGAACATGTGCGCGCTTCTCCGATCGCATCGCACTGACCTCTCTGATGTTGTCAGTGACCGCGCGGTATGGCTGCGGGCACTTGGGCGGGGGCGTGTCGGCGCGTCTGTAGGGGAACGGGTACTGCTTGTCCCACATCACGGGCGCCGCGAACCGCAGCTTGCCAGTGGGCGGCAGGGCGTAAGGCACGCCGTAGAAGGCGGAGACGTTGGTGAAGCCTGGGCATCCCGTGCCCTGTATGGGTCCGAAGCCCTTGATCCAGATCTGATTGTTCACCTGCACCGGCCGCGGCGGCGGCTTGCACGCCACGAGCGCTAAGGCGGATAAGAGTACGCATGCTGCCAGGGTCCATCGTAAACTACTTGCCATGGCTGTCATTCGCAGGCGGATTACGGCTTTCTGATAATTTGTTGCTGTGATACGCTCTACCTCAATTCGGTACTCGCAAGCGAAATTAGGGAGAGCGGCAGGTGAAAGACCACCAGCCCAACTTTCGATTTCCCGTGCGTTAGAATCTATTTCCCCGAGTGACAACAAAGTAGTGAATGCAGCGGTCGACCCGTGACTGATGGATGGATCGATGCCACTTGGTGCGTTGCCTTATGCCTTGTGACGCTCTGCAATAGAAAGCAGGGAGGGAGCTATGTGAAGCCACCGTGCCATGCCAAGGGAACGCGCAAGGGTTGGGAATGGGTGGAGAAATCTCAATATGGCAGGGGCTTGAATGCGCGGCTCGGCTGTAATCGAGCGGAGGCGAGGCGAATGTCTGTGTTTCGGGGGGCTCCCTTCCAGCGCAGAGGAGCAGAACAGCCGAATTGACTGCGACGCGAGTGCCCCGCCAAAGGCGTTCTCGTCAAGGCGCGTCAGCAAGCTGACACGGGGTTTCGTTCGACGCTCCACTCAGCCCGTGTGCTTGGGAGGATGGAAATTAGTCTCCACCAATAAGACTCGAGGATGCGTCTGTCACGTCCGCTCTGACCCCGCAGGCGACGCCAGCCGAGGAGAGTGCACGACTTGAAGAACGCTCAATTGTAGAACAGAAAGTATGAATGTAAAGCAGCTCTACATTGAACATGTTATTCATATGTTAATAATTCCCATCCTCTTCATTAAGTTTCATCAAATCATAGAAAACAGAGTGGAGAATCAATATTTTTTCTCAAAACTTTTATTTTGAAGAAAAAATTCGTGAGCAAAGAGATGCTAAAAATCTGCCGCAAAATGGCATTGTGTGTAATACCAGCTATGTGTGACCTGATAGTTCTCATATAGTTAACGAGGCTGCTTGTAACAACTTCAGAACCATCTACTGTTACTGCACCCTGATGCGAAAGCCGTCAGCTTTCCTTCGATTGGCTTGATCGCATCGCCTGTCAGAAGCAAAACCCGCTCGAACCGCAACGCAACGGTATAGATAACCTGGAAGTTGGTGGTGCAGGCGGGGTCAACCTTGGAAGTTGCATCACAAGGACCAGGGCTACCTAGCGGCTTGTTCGGGCATTGCTTTCCCGCCTCTCAAAAGTTGCATCGAGGCCTTTCTGGGAAGGCAGGACGAACAACGACACTCCTGATAGCGAATCCTTCCGCATCCAGCGTTTGTTCCCAAGGACTCTCACTCTCTGGTCCTATGGGCCCAGCATCTCCCTACATCACGTCCATTCCTGCTCAATTGTAGAAGTTTTACTTCGCTAGCTTATCGACTTACCTCTGACACGGGTACAATTGGAGAGCTTTCGCGGAACCTATCGGAAGACGACAAGAAGGATTATTTTTGGCGAACTAGTCAAAGCACATCACTTTAGGAGCATCGACGACGTTCCACTAGAATCCCAGTAGTACAGCTGTGAAGTAAATGTTCGAACAACTTTCCGAAGGCATGACCTGGTTCTAAATCTTTCATTTTGTGGCTGAATAATCGGCGAGTGCCAAGATGATGGACAGTAAGCTAGTCAGAAGGTTTTCCTTCAGTCCGAGTAAGAAGGCGCCTCCGAGTCCTAGTGGCAGTACCTCCAAGCGGAGAGTCAACTATGCGGGTTCCAAGTTGCCTCTGCCGGGATTCGCATCTCCCGTAGTGCCAGAAGATGAGGCCACGTCATCAGGCACCTCTAACGAGTCAGCGAGCCGCCACACAACCGGCACTCCGAATCTCCTCTCAGCGTTTAGGCCGTCTAGGCAGCAGACGAGTCACGCACCGGCACCCGGCCCCCCTGTCGGTAGTCAGTCAGGTCTTAAGCCGATAATGGCCCGCTCTTCGAGTCCGAGTCCTAGCAACCATACGGTGCGTGGGGGTGCCATGCCAGGGCCACGTGTTCACGCGCAGCCCCAGCCGCGACAGGTGTCGTTCGCGCCGTCGACCCAGCAACATCCAATGCTGGTGCCGGAGATGGCGGTCGTGCCCAACCCTCTGGAGAACGAGAACGTTCTAGTCACCGTCCGGTTCCGCCCGCTCAGGTTCGTCGGCAGACTCGCAGCGTAGAAGTAGTCGTCCGCGTTGCGTGAGCAGGTGAACATGGTAGTAGCTCATGGGGACTGACTGACTGTTGTGGCCGCATGATGGTGTGGTGGTGGCAGTTTGAGAGAGATTCAGCGTGGAGAGGACGTCGGGTGGTACGCCGACGGCGACAAGATCGTGCGCATGGAGTCGAACCCCGCCATCGCCTATGCCTACGGTTAGTGCCTTAGTAGCTTCAGCACCCACTAGACGTATCGCACCTTCTCATGCTCAACGATGAGAGTTTCAAGACAGCACATACTAGGCATGAGCTAAAACTCCGTAGCCAGTGATTTCCCCCACCACGACAGCAGGCCTTTCCGCCAGGGCATTTGAACCTTTCGACATAATGCCACTCTGGTTGGCCCACTCACATTACTCCTTACCGTCACTCTTACTCGCCTCGTTCTCCCGTACCCCACCCCTACCTTTCTGTGCGTGCAGACAAGGTGTTTGGGCCCGCAACAACGACGCGGGGGGTGTATGACGTGGCAGCGCAGCCCGTCGTATCCGCTGCGATGGAAGGAATCAACGGTGAGAAATAATTTTAAAACGGTAAGCAATGATGGTTGAAAAAGAACCAACAACATGACGCACGGCGCCACGCGGGTCTTTTCATCCCCCTCACTGTTTGTGCGTGTTTGTGTGTGCGTGTGATGGCCCTCCAGGAACGGTCTTCGCGTACGGCGTCACGAGCAGCGGGAAAACGCACAGCATGCACGTGAGTAGAAAGCGCAGCATGCGTGCGATGCGAGTAGAAGCGCAGCATACGTGTGAGAAGTAAGCGCAGCTTGTATGCGAGCAGAGCGCAGAGCATTAGATGATACGCGCAGCATGCATGTGAGTGAAACGCGCTGCGAATGACTGTGCGACACACATACCTCCTCTTGCCCCCGTCGCCCTCACTGTCCACCCCGTCCTACCCTGTGCTTCCCCACCGCGTGCGTGCGCTGATGCGCGCAGGGCGACCAGAAGTCTCCGGGTGTCATTCCGCTGGCCGTGAAGGAGGTGTTCAGCATCATCCAGGATGTGAGTGATGAGTATGATTCAGAGTATGAATGCCAGCACAGAACGATTGATGTCCGCCCCCTGTCGTACACCCACCCTCCAGTTTTCTCATGTCGTCCTCCATGCCTCGCTGCCGTTCTCTCATTCTCTCCTCTCACCCTTGTGCCCGTCTCTTCGTTTCTGCCCTTTCCCAGACGCCTGGTCGCGAGTTTCTACTGCGGGTGTCGTACCTCGAGATCTACAACGAGGTACTCACCGCGCTGCCTTGCCTTGCCTTGCCTTGCGCTCATCCACCCGCCGCCACGCATGCATGCATCCAGCGCCTTGCACCGCGTATGCCATCTGCCGCCTCGCATTCATGCACGCATCTGCCATCTTGTATGCGTCCGCCGCCCCTCCCAAATGTTTAACACCACACGCATTGGCTAATCGCGCAGCTCCACTCCATAAACACATAAGCTCGTGCGCCCTACCGTCGCGCCTGTTGCGCGCCCGCCGTGGCACGGCGTCGCTCATCCGCCCGCCGTCCCCACGCGTCGTACATGGCAGGTGATCAACGACCTGCTCAACCCCGCCGGGCAGAACCTGCGCATCCGCGAAGACGGTCAGGTGCGGAGAGGCGGGAGGTGGGAAGAGGGGGGAGGATGTGGGGAGGAGCACAGGGGGCGAGCACAAGGGGAAAGCAAAGAGAGAAACAGGGGAATAGGCGAGGGGGGAGAGGGGAAACAGAGGAGAGAGCGGGAACGAGAGAAATTGATAGGGGAATGAGGGTGGGGCCAACGAATATGCGACTCGTTTCACGCTGCTCCGTGTGTGCCACCCCTCGCCTCGCCTCCCCTAGCAACCCCTGCCCTGCCATTCCCTGCCTTCCTCCACCCGGCCGTGCTGCCGTGCCCTGCCCGCTCTTTCCCTGCTCCACGAGCAGCATGGCACGTTCGTGGAGAACGTGAAGGAGGAGGTGGTGCTGTCAGCCGCGCACGCGCTCTCCCTCATCGCCGCCGGCGAAGGCAAGCCCCTCCTCCCCCCAGTCCTCTTCCTCCTCCGCCTCCTCCTCTCCCACCCGCCCTTGCGAGTTTGTGCTGCTCGTCGTGTGTGCATCGGATTCACTCTCTCTGCATCTGTGCGCGCACTTCACCTCGTGCGGCTCACTTGTGTGCGCTCACTCGTGTGTGTGCAGAGCACCGGCATGTGGGCGCCACGCACTTCAACACGGCCAGCAGTCGCAGCCACACCATCTTCACTCTCGTGAGCCCCACCCGGTTCCCCGCTCCCCCTTCCCCCGCGCCCCCTCTTCCCCCCACCTCCTGCTCCCCCTCATTCTCTTTCAAACACCTGTTTTTTTGGAGCTCGTTGCACCTTGTGCCCAAATTGTGGCTGCTTAATCTTGCAACCTGCCCTGCCATTCCCCTCACTCTAGATTCTTCCCCCCTACGCCTGGTTGTGCGGCAGACCGTGGAGAGCAGCGGGCGGGACTTGGAGGGGTACGAGGAGGTCACCTACTCGCAACTGGTACGCCCCCCTCCCCCCTCCCATGCGCCCCTGCCCTCCACTCCTCGTTTGTCGTCCCACTCCACACTGATGTATGCTGATTTCTGCCGATGGACACTCCCAAAAACATGCTTGCCTTGCCTTCTTCCTGCGCCTCCAGTCTACGCATTCAGTCTGCGCCTCATCTGGAGCGTGCTCTCTTCTAACTGCACCTGTGTGTGTGTGTGTGTGCGTGCATGCGTGCGTGCGTGCATGCGTGTGTGTGTGGGGTATCAGAACCTGATCGACCTGGCGGGGTCGGAGAACAGCCGAGCCACGACGGGCAACAACGTGCGGCGCAGGGAGGGCACGTTCATCAACAAGAGCCTGCTCACGCTCGGCACGGTCAGTCGCCCCTCACGCTCGCCACGGTCAGTCCGCCTCGCTCAGCATCGTCACCTGCATGCTACACGCACTTCGTGTGGTGCTCAACCTTCATGAAAAGAATGCCTTTACATTGCCCATGGGGTGTAGTATTCATCACCCTCACCTGTCATGGCACTGTGTCGTGGTGCTGTACTGGTGTGTGATGGTGCGGTGGTGGTGTGGAGCAGGTGATATCGAAGCTGAGTGAGCGCAAGCAGTCGCACGTGCCGTACCGGGACTCGAAGCTCACACGTCTGCTGCAGACGTCACTGAGTGGCAACGCGCGCATCTCGCTCATCTGCACCGTCACCCCCGCCTCAGGCACGCTGGAGGAGACGCACAACACGCTCAAGTTCGCCTCGCGCGCCAAGCACGTTGAGATCCGCGCCAACGCCAACAAGGTCAGCCACACTCACACATGGGACGCAAGACACGCGTGGGTGGGGTGGGCCCCGCTAGTGGGCACCCGTCGGACCTCTGTTGGCCTCATATGATGCATTTTCTGTCTCAATGAATGACCTCCTTGGAGGGTGAAGCGCTTCTCTTGTTGCGTCGAGGAGTGGTCCTGTCCCACTCTCATCTGTGTGTCCGCTCTTGTTCCTTCCTCCCCCCTCCCCTGCGTGGGGGCACGGCATCAGATATTGGACGAGAAGTCGCTGATAAAGAAGTATCAGAAGGAGATCATGGCGCTCAAGGACGAGCTCACGCGCCTCAAGCACACCATGTCCCACGCGCCCGCCCCCCCCGCACTGCCCTGGGGGGCTTCGCCTGGCAACGGCAACATGGGCGACAGCGGGGGAGGAGACATGGGCGGGCAGGACCTTGCAGTGCTGCGGGAGAAGGTGAGTTGGTGGCAGCTGCCTCTGCACGCCCCCCTGCTGCTCACTGCTGTTGCTCCTTCGTTGGCGCTGTGCGCGGCTGGCTGTGCCTCATCCTCCATTCTCTTCACCTGCTTCCCTCTTTTCTCTCCTTTGTGCTCTTCCAAATCCCTTGCCCTCGGCGTCCTTCTTACCTGCCCCCCTCCTTCGTCTCCCCCCTTTTCCCCCCTCCCGCCCTCTCCTTTCCACTCGATGCAGCTGGAGGCGGATCAGATGTTACTGCAGTCGAGGTTGGAGGAGGAGGAGGAGGCCAAGGCGGCGCTGATGACGCGCATACAGCGCCTCACCAAGCTCATCCTCGTGTCCTCCAAGGCCTCCTCCGCCTCCAAGCCCGCCCCCCCTCAGCACGCCCCTCCCACCGGCCGCCTGCGCCGCCGCCTCTCCTTCGGCGAGGAGGACGTGAGTAGCGTGCCCCCGCATGCACCACTTGCCCCCGCATGCACCACTTGCCCCCGCATGCACCACTTGCCCCCGCATGCACCACTTGCCCCCGCATGCACCACTTGCCCCCGCATGCACCACTTGCCCCCGCATGCACCACTTGCCCTTGCGTGACGGCCTTGTTAACATGTTTCTGCTTCTGCTTGATGCGCCTTCACGGCGCAGTAGCCTTGCCTCTCCTGCAACTCTATACGCCTCCCTTTTGTTTCTCTAATGCGCTCCTCCCGTCCCCCTCCCCTCTCCTTCCCCCTCCCAATTCGTCCACACACGTGGCATCGTGTCCTCATGCCAGCTGGCGTACCTGAAGCAGCGGCGCATGGATCTGGGCTTCGACCTGCTGGACGACGCCATGGGCGCGGGGGGAGGCGCGGGGGACGACCTGCAGCGCCTGGGGGGCACGGTGGGCGCAGCAGGGTCGCGCTCTGTGAGCATGTACAGCGGCGGCAGTGGCAGTGGCGCTGCCTCGCCCCGAGGGACGGGCGCAGGCGCAGATGGGGGCGGGGGAGGGGGAGGGGACGACGATGGGGGTCCCATGATCCTCAAATGGCTTCGCTCCAAGGTGCGTCCCGTGGGGTAGGGAGGAAGGGGGGGAGAAGGGAGGGAAGATGGTGGTGATTCAAGGAACAAACGAACGTGAGATGGTGGGATTGTAGAAGCGGGTGAGAGGGAATGCAGAGAGTGGTGCATCAGCACCCACCTGTTGTCCAGCCGCCCTCACCGCCACCCTCCTCTCCCACCTCATCTCGAATGGTCCTTCATTGAATAAGCAAGATATTACAGCGCATTCGTAATACGGCCATACAAACAAGGCAAGGTCAACCTAAGGCATCTCCCACCTCATCTCTACCCCCCCACTCTTCCTTGGCTTGCCCTTGTGCGCAACAGAAGGACGGGGCGGGCAGCAAGGACGGGGACGGCGAGGGGGGCGTGCACGCGTCGCTGGCGGGCAGTGAGAACGTGGACCCCATGCTCGCACTCACTGCCCGCGCCACGGATGGCAGCAGCGGCACTGCCATGGACGCGGGCAGAGCAGGCAGTGACAGCGGCCAGTGGCTCACGCGGGTCAGCAGCGGCACAGACAGCTCAGAGGAGCAGGCAGGGGGGGCGGGGGCGGGGGCGCCCAGGATGACGCGCGCAGTGCGGCGCACGGCGTCGCTGCTCAGTGTGGACGAGGCGGGCGCAGGGGGAGGGATGGGCATGGGCATGGGTATGGGGGGAGGGGGGCGGTGTGTGGAGACGGTGAGGGCGTCAACACAGGCGGGGGAGTTGTTTCACATCACAGGCGTGCGAATCCCATCGGTGAGAGCATGTGGCTGATTCGTTGAGATGGACGCTGCAAGTCAAGTCCTTCTTCCTTTGTATGTCCTCTCCGTTCGCTTCCACGACCTGTGCTCCTTCCTCACCTCTCAACGTTCCCCCATTCTCCCTGCCATCCCCCCTACGTGCATGGCACGAGCAGAGCGGCACGACGCTCATGGACCAGTGCGAGCTGCTGAGAGAGCAGGTCAGTGGGCAATGCAAACCCTTGTGATTCAATGTTAACTAGTGCAGCAGCATGGCACTCACACACACACGCACACACAGAAATGCCTGTCTAACGGCAACGTAGTCTCATATCAGAAACTTGGACTTCGGAATCCGTTCCTGCTCTCCCCTCATCTGCTGTCGCTCCTCTTCCCTCAGTCTCTCTCTCTTCCCCTCTCCCCTCCTCTGTCCCCCCCACCCCCGCAGGTGAAGATTCTATCAGCGGAGGTGGGATTCCACACGTCCAACCTGAGGCGCCTCATCGACAAGGGCGAGAACACACCGCAGGAGCAGCAGGAGATTGAGGTCAGTTGAGCGGGCTTGCAGGGCAGGCGTGGGTGGGGGCAGCGGGGCAGTGGAAAGTAGTAGGACCCCATGTTCCATAGTAGGTTCCCTTTTTACAAGAGGCCTTGACATGAAGATGCTGTCTCTCAGCCTCTCTGTCTTCAATATCAGTCCCTTGTTCATTTCTTGTCTCTGCCTGCCCCTCCCCCTTGTGTGCCTGGGTTCCACAGCGGCTGCGAGTGGAGCTAGCGGGCAAGCAGCAGCAGCTGCGTGAGATGGAGGAGCTCATGCGGCGCAGGCAGGGCGACCAGCCCTCCCCTGCTGCCAGCGCCGTGGGGGGCAGTGATGGCCTGGGCGTGGGCGCAGAGGCAGACATGGCCACACAGGAACAGATGGCCAAGGTGGGAGCAAGGCAAATAATAGTCATGACATCCCTGCTCCATGCCCCATGCCCCAAAATGAATGCTGTATGCTCCATGCCTCCTCTGACACATCTTCCCACACGCTCTTCCATGCCTGATTTCAAACGTCAAGGCCTCTTGTCCCTTGTTCCACGAACCATTACAAACGCCCTTTGTTCCATCCTAAACCTCCCATTCCCTACGCCCCATGGCATATGCCCTGTGCCCATGTGCCTTCCTACACGGCCCGTGTCCCACGTGGTGCAGACAATAGCGAAGCTCAAGGCAGTGCTGAGCGAGAAGACGTTTGACATGGAGGTGAGCGAGAGGCGTTTGACATGGAGGTGAGCGAGAGGGGTATCAAGTGAAAGGATTTCACCTGGCGGACGGGCTTGAGAGCACTCAGAAACGGACTTTCTGTTTGTGCTCGCTGCACTGGCCTGCTTGCATGTGCGCTATTTCCCTCATTACTTGGTAACCTTACCACCTTTCTCTCTTTGCCCGTGCTCCCCCTCCTGGCCACCGTGTCAGATCGTGAGTGCAGACAACCGTATTCTGCAGGACTCGCTCAAGGCCAAGGTGAGCGGCACCGGCGCCACTGCCCCGAATCTACCTGCTCAATGTGCTCTTCCCGGAAGCAGCTGGCACCATGCTTCTCGTCCCTTCCCACCTGCACGTTCTGCCTCTCCCGCACGTCACACCCCCAACCACTCCTCACCCGCTCCCACTCGTCCCCTCTCTCTCGCCTCATCCCCACCCTGTGCGGCACCAGACGCGGCAGGTGCAGCAGCTGATGGAGGAGGCGAACATGCTGCGAGTGGAGCTCACGCGCGCCATCACCACCCGCCACAACGCTGCCAGGGGGCAGGAGGACGCCAACGGGGAGGCTGACGGGCAAGCGGACGCAGCAGGGCAAGGGGAGGGCGAGGGTGGCACGGGGGCAGGGGCAGGGGGCGGTGAGGGGGGAGGGGGTGGCCGGGAGGGCATGGTGCTGGTGAGGGCGGGCGAGCTGGAGGAGCTGCGGTCGCATGTGAGGCTGGCTCGGCAGGAGGCGGACATGCTGCGGCAGCAGCAGCACCAGCTCACCAAGGACCTCGCAGGGGCGCGCTCCCTCGCCCTCACCGCCTCCTGCTCTGCCCCTGCCAGTGCTGGCGCTGCTGGTGGGGCAGATGGGTCAGGTGCTGCAGCAGGGGCGCCGTCCCTGGCGTCGTTTTTGGACGGGGCGTACATGAATGGGCCGGATGGGCGGGCGGATCTGAGTGGGTTGCTGCAGCAGGTGGAGGCGGCGAGGGCGCGGGAGGCGCAGTGGCAGGAGCAGCGGCAGCAGCACCAGCTCGTGGAGGCTGAGCTGGCAGCTGCCCGTGCTGAGCTGGCAGCGTACCGAACTGCTGCTGCTGCAGAGGCAGGAGGAGTGGAGAATGGGGAGGGCGGAGATGGTGGGGAGGTCGGAGAGAGCGCAGGAGGTGGCGCAGGAGAGGGCATGAGGAAGCAGGGGGCGGTGGGAGCGGTGGCGGCAGTGGCAGCGCGGCTGGAAGCAGAGAAGGACGCGATGCTGGCCGTGCGGGAGAGGGAGGTGGGCGAGCTGCAGCAGAGCCTGGCGGCAGCGCAGCAGAGGGAGGCGGCTCTGGAGAGGGACCTGAGCACCATGTGGGTGCTCGTGGCTGAGCTCAGACACATGGGGGGTGGCAGTCGCTCCGCCTCTGTCAAGGATAGTGAGGGCAGTGGCAGGGAGGGCGGTGGGGGCACGGCAGGACGAGGGGGGTTGCTGGACGCGGAGGAGATGGTGGAGCTGGCGGGCAGCATTGGGGGCAGCGGGCGGTGGCTGGGGGAGCTACGGAAAGGGGAGAGCATGCGCAGCGAGGGGGTGGGTAGTGAGGGGGGCAGCGAGGGCGGGGTGAGCCTGTCGGAGCGGGCGATGGAGTTGATCCGAGCGGGGTCGGCGGGGGGGTTGGGGGCGCGTGGAGGGGAGGGGGCGAGTGGGGAGGTGGAGGTGCGAGTGCAGATGGCAGTGGAGCGAGAGACGTGTGCTCTCAAGGAGGAGCTCGCCCACAGAAAGGTGCGGGCATGGGGTGGGAGTGTGGGATTGACAGGGTGCCATTGTTTCCTCCTGCCCCATCACCCATCAACTTCGCCAGATTTAAGAATTAGAGTCTGATTACCTCTGGCCCCTCCTCACTCCCCCTATTGCTCCTGCTTCCTCCCTCACTCTGGGGCACATGTCCTCCCCCCTCCCACCGCCCCTTGTGTTACAGGGCGAGCAGCTGGCGGGGTTGACGCTGAGGGAGCTGATGGCGCTGGAGGCGGACATGGAGACAGCTCTCACCAAGCTCGAGGTCGCTAAGGTGCTCTCCCGCCCCTCCCCGTTCTTGCTCCGCCCTCCCTCCTCCTGTCTCCCCTCCCGGCCATTTTGCTCCTCCCATCCTGATCATTTTACCCGCTTCACTAGAGTTCATCCCTCACCTCCTCTCTATATGACCCTCACAGGCATACATACACAAGGCACACAGAATGAGGCAGCTGCTGTGAGTTCACAAATGACAGGGAGTGAAGCTACCTGAAGAAAGGGGCTTGGACCATACCGTCGTCACCCACCTCCTTCAGATCTTCCCCCTCCTGCCATGCCACGCTGCTAATCCCTCCACCATGTTTTGCCAGCTGCCACTAAAACCATGGCTGCTTCACTGCCTCACCTTCCCTTATCCTCTGCTGTACGCTCTTCCCCTCCCCACCCCATCCCCTCCACGCTCCTCCCCTCTGCTGCCCTGCATGTGGCATGGCGATGCAACGGTGCAACAACAACAACTCCATGCGTGGGCCGTGTGGCTTGAACGGCGTCGTGGCAACAATGTGGAGCGCAGATGCGAGTGCGGGCGGAGGGCAGCAGCACGAGCGGCTCAGAGATAGACCCGGTAGAGGACTGCCTCCATCACCTCCTCCCTAACCATGACCTTCATCATCCCCATCATGCGCATCATCAGCTCGATGATGCCCATGATGGCGATGACAATGGCATGGAAATGGACTGCGGGGGGGATTATTTTTGCAAGAATTGTTTCGACGCCCCCATCTCCACGCAGACCCTGCCGTGCCACCACTCGTGCTGTACGCCTCGTTGCACCCTGCAATGCAACCATGCGTGCCCCGCTTTCTCTCGCCCTCTCTCCCCGTTCATGGCATTGCCTCTCTCACTCCCTCGTCCTCTCCCTTTCCCCATGCCTTTCCTTAAGCACTTATGCTGCACACATCCCGTGTGTACCTGAACCACTGCAAGCGCATCGTTCACTGCTCAGTCTCTGCAACCTCAACTTCGCAATCACTGCCGCTGCCTTTTCTTGCCTCGTGTGCTCCTTCAGCGCGCCCCTAGCACTCTTCGTCCTCACGCTCGTAGTCTGCTATCGTAACACAAACATCCCTCAGCATGATGCCAATCATACCGGTACTTGCTGTGCCCCTCTGCCCCCCCACGTGCCATCACCCCTTCAACCATGCATGCACACAACAGACTGCGAGGACTGCGCCCGAGATGCTGACCTGTGCGCCACGTGCCTAGCGCCCGCTGCTGGCTTCCAGCCCATGCGGTGACACGCCCAGCACGTGGTGTGGTGCCACCCGCTTGACTCCTGACACACGTGCTTGTGTGCACTGCTCGCAGCAGGACCATTACTAAACAACCTGAGTGGGTAGCAGCAGATGTGGCGAGCACAGAATGGTCCGTTTGCATCGCAAGTATGAAGTAGCCCATACACATGAAGCACTAGAGAAGCTGCAACTAGGCGAACTTTGCTTGTTTGTGTTGTGCAATAGCTTTATGTATTCATTTGAGGGCTTTGTCTCAGGGCTAGCGCGTGGATAGAAGCTTCAGATCTGATCTGGTGTCATAAAGCCTTCACCTGCTGCTCATGATTGCTTCAACTCCCATGTAAAAACAAGCTTGCTGGAGGAGCACAACCCTACTCCGAAGCCGGCTGGCGGTGCCTGTCCCCGTCCTTGCAGCAGTACTGGTGCTGCAGCTTCACACACCCGCAACTCCTGATGGGAAGGTTGCATTGGGTTGGCATGAGGGGGTGTGGCATGGTGCGGCGTGGTAGCAGAGAGGATGTGAATGGACGATTGCCAAGCATGGACGGAGGTGAATAGCTGCGGCACTCACAGGCATCTGACCACCACCGGCACAGCCTTGAGCGCCTTGGGTCCATTCCTGATGCCCTTCCGTGACGGCGTCACCTGCACGTGATGGCGTGAGGGACGGGAGGCACACGCAGGGTCGGTTGGACGAAACACGATTGTTTGCAGCCACGAGTCAGACGAAACTGCTGCATACCTTCCTCTTAGGGACCGCCATAACCTCAAATCGATTCGCATCGTCTGGCGTCAACAGTGAATGCGACGGGGCTAAAACGGAAGGGCCGGATGCGGCGGGGACGGCAGGGTAAATCAACGGCTCAGCTGCGCTTCCTTGCTGCTCGAGATCGTACGGCGTGCACGGAAGGGTTGGCTGATCGGATCGCGACGACGCGGCGCAACTTGGCCCGTGCGGAAGTGGGTGCGGGGAGGGGAACGGATGGGCGGAGGGGATGGAGGTGGAAAACGCGCGGTAGACTGCGCCGAGACACGCGCGCAGGTCGCACGGCGAGGTAAGGCGGCGAGAGAGAGCCATGGCTGTGCTGACGTGCTGTGCAGAAGGCAAGGGGTGATGAGGAAGTGTGTCCCGTTACTGTTAATTTTGAAGTTATGTAAGAACCTTCTTTCAGTTGAAGGTGGAAGATTTGTACACGATGTATAGAGTACATTACAAGCATTCAAGTGAAAATAAACTGGTTTGCAGCTGAAGTTTGGCGATGTTTGGTTGGATGAAGGTGGAGTGACGTGGAAAGCAGCACAAGGGATGGTGGTCGCCAGCCAATGATAATGCGGACAAGCTTGAGGCCAAAGGGCAACTGATGCGTTGGCAGTGTTTCACAGGACATCGCCTACGAGCTCACATTCAACGAACCTCAACCATTCGTTGCTGCAATCTGAAAGCTTCTGGACGACGAGAAAATTTGTGCAGGGCAGTTTTCTGTTTTCATGAACGCTATTTGCAGCTACACTAACAGGAAGTTGAAAACAAAGATGGTGAAAACAAAGGAGGGCAGGCTCATGTGGTGGCGGCCACTTTTCATGATCTTGCCTTGCCCGTGCCGAGCCGAGCCGTGCAAAGCGCTGAGAGTGGAGAGTCATTCCACCTCATCACTGCATGCTGCTGTTTGTCTCGTCGCTTTTCACTCTCCTCTCCCACCCTCCACGAGACTGTTTTTCTATCGCCCCAGATACGCAGCAAGTTCACGCACTAATGTTATGAACCTTCCTGACCGCGTCAGTCGCGCAATCAGCGCGTAGAGCGGCGTAGAGGCGATCTCCAATTTACCCCGCGCCACTCTAGTCCCGCAAAGCGCACTCGCGCGTTTGGAGCGGCGCAAGAGCCGCGGGCGCCATGGGTGCGGCGAATTACGTGCCGGGCGAGGAGGTGGCGCTGCTGTTCATGGCCGTGTCGCTGGCGCTCGGCGCGCTGTGCCGCCAGATCTTCAACAACACGCGCGTGCCGTACACCGTCGCGCTGCTGCTCGTCGGCATCGCGCTCGGCGCGTTTGGTGAGCCTCCCGCGCGCGGGCGCGCCTGCGCATAGCTTGGTGCCGCCTGGGGAGAGCAGCGGCAGCAGCGGTGTCGGGCGTAGGCATGTGTGTGCAAGGAGCATCACCTGTAGTATGCTAATAAAGGCGCGCTAACCCGTCGCCACTGACTCCGCTTGCGTGCAGCAGCAGCGTCGACGGCGCTTGGCGCGCCAGCAGCGGCCGTGACTTGCTGCAGTAGCCGCCAGCTGGTAGAGCTGCTCGGAGCGTTGAGCCCCCTCTCACATGCGTCGTTTCCTCCTCATCATCCGCGCTCCCGTTCTCTCGCACACACTCGCACGCACTCACACTGACGTTTCTCCGTGCCTGCACTCTCCCTCCCTCCCGTCCGCCTTTCCGCCCCCGCGCCCCTCCCGACGCGCAGAGTTCTACGTGGACCTGGGGCTGCTCGGCCTCAGCATCCGCAAGTGTACGTTCCGCCCGCCCCGCGCGCAGTCGTCCGTTTGTCTAGTTTCGCGTGCAGCTCCAATCAGTTGCACCCCTCTTGCGCGCAGCTCCAATCAGTTGCACCCCTCTTGCGCTGCTCGTCACCTGTCGCCGTTCTTGCTGCGACACACACACCAACCCCCGCCTTCCACCGCTGCCTTACCCATCCTCGCCGCTCTTCCTCCTCCCTCTCTCCCTCCCTAACTCCCTCGCTTCTTCGCTTCCTCTCTAACCCCCCCCCACCCCTGCCTGCCCCACGGCTCTCCCCGTCCCCCATGTGGCGCGCAGGGGCGGCGATAGAGCCGAATATAATCTTCTTCGTCTTCCTGCCCGCGCTGCTCTTCGAAAGCGCCTTCGCCTTCGAGATGCACCAGATCAAGGTGCGCCCCCCATGCTGCACCAGATCAAGGTGCGCCCCCCATGCTGCACCAGATCAAGGTGCGCTCCCCATGCTGCACCAGATCAAGGTGTGCCCCCCATGCTCCGCTCCCTCTGCTCGCAATGCTGCCTCCGCGCAACTCGCTCATTTATCCTTCTCCCCTTCCTCGCCCCTTGGCATCTCCATCTGCTATCCCCCCGTCCCTTCGGGCAGCGGTGCATGTTTCAGATCTTCCTGCTGGCAGTGCCGGGTGTCGTCATCACCACCGGCTTCCTCGGTGTCATCTGCAAGGTACGCTTCCCTTATCCATGTCATCTGCAAGGTACGCTTCCCTGAACGTGTGGCAGCGTGCCCAGCGCCACCACCTTGCGTGCCCAGCGCCACCACCTTGCTTACTCTCCCATCTCTTCCCTCCCTCCCGCCCTACGTGTGCCTGCATGCACGGCCCGCCCAGTGCGTGCTGCCATACGGGTGGTCGTGGAGCACGGCCATGCTGCTGGGCAGCGTGCTCAGCACCACGGACCCCGTCGCCGTCGTGGCGCTGCTCAAGGAGCTCGGTGCTTCCAAGAAGTTGCGCACCATCATTGACGGCGAAGCGCTCATGAACGACGGGTGAGGGGCGATGAACGGGGGGAGGGGCGATGAATGGGGGGAGGGGCGATGAACGGGGGGAGGGGCGATGAACGGGGGGAGGGGCGATGAACGGGGGGAGGGGCGATGAACGGGGGGAGGGGCGATGAACGGGGGAGGGGTGATGAACGGGGGGAGGGGCGGCAGCAGCAGGGGTGAGGCAGCAAGGGCGCATGGTGGGGGTTGACAAGGCGTGGGCATGGCATGGCATGACAGCGGATGGAGGGCATGGCATGGGTAGCATTGTAGGGAGGGCACAAGGCGTGGCATGGCATGCAGAAGCATCGTCCCTGCCTTCAACACTGTCTGCCTGCCCTCTCCCTGCATCGCTCGCCCCCTGCCCCGCTGACCCGCATGGGTGGCAGGGCGGCCATCGCCATATTCCAGCTCTTCCTGCAGCTCGTGCTGGGCTACTCGTTCTCCCCGGGGGACATCGTTGCCTTCATGTGCCGCGTCTTCTTCGGCGGGTGCGTGCCCCCTGCCTGCCTGCCCTGCCCATGCCTTCCGCCTGCTCCCCATTCCATTCCCCCCACCCCGCTCCCCATGTCATCCGCTCCCCATGTCATCCGCTCCCCATGTCATCCGCCCCCAATGTGCTCCCATCCCATCCAAGAGTGCATCCGTCACCCATCAGCAATGCCCACTAGCTCACGTTTCCCCTTCATCCCGCTCTCCCCCTTGTGCGGGCAGCATAGCGCTGGGGATGGCGTTCGGGGTGGTGAGTCTGCTGTGGCTGCGCACTGTGTTCAACGACTACATCATCGAGATCACCATCACCATCTGCGGCTCCTACATGGCCTTCTTCGTTGTGTGTGCCCCCGCGCTCTCACTCACTCACCCTGCCATGCCCTCACTCATCCACTCACCGTGCCACACCATGCCATACCATGCCACACCATGCCACACCATGCCATACCATGCCACACCATGCCACACCATGTCACACCACGCCACACCATGCCACACCATGCCATGCCATGTCACACCATGCCATTCCATGTCACACCATGCCACACCATGCCACACCATGCCAAAATCTCCTGTCCTTGCTCTCCGTCCTCCCACACTCCTTGTCAGCTTTCCCCAATCCGTTCTCCACTCCCTACCTCAACCCCGCACCCCCGTGTGCCTGTCGCCCCCACGCCCCTGGGTACAGGCGAACGCAGTGACCAACATGTCTGGAGTCATGTCCGATATGACGCTCGGCATGTGAGCGCACTCCCGCCCACCCCACCTTACTCATCCTTCTGCCGCATGTTTCTCTGCTGTTCATTAATCAGTTTCATCCCAGCTTTGTCGCAGCTTCTCTCACAAGTGCTCGTCACTGTGTGCATGTGGCATGGGGCATGGGGCATATGGCATGTGGCATGGGGCATGGGGCATGGGGCATGTGGCATGGGGCATGGGGCATGTGGCATGTGGCATGGGGCATGTGGCATGTGCATGGCAGCATGTTTGCTATATTCGCCAAGACGGCATTCACAGGGGAGAATGAGAAGAACATGCACAGCTTCTGGTGAGGCCATGCTCTCGTCTCTTCTGGTGAGGCCATGCTCTCGTCTCTTCTGGTGAGGCCATGCTCTCGTCTCTTCTGGTGAGGCCATGCTCTCGTCTCTTCTGGTGAGGCCATGCTCTCGTCTCTTCTGGTGAGGCCATGCTCTCGTCTCTTCTGGTGAGGCCATGCTGTCGTCTCTTCTGGTGAGGCCATGCTCTCGTCTCTTCTGGTGAGGCCATGCTCTCGTCTCTTCTGGTGAGGCCATGCTCTCGTCTCTTCTGGTGAGGCCATGCTCTCGTCTCTTCTGGTGAGGCCATGCTCTCGTCTCTTCTGGTGAGGCCATGCTCTCGTCTCTTCTGGTGAGGCCATGCTCTCGTCTCTTCTGGTGAGGCCATGCTCTCGTCTCTTCTGGTGAGGCCATGCTCTCGTCTCTTCTGGTGAGGCCATGCTCTCGTCTCTTTGCTCCCATGCTGCTTCTCACCCCTCGCCCACACGTCACCACCTCACGTTATTGACTCACGCTTGCATGTGTGTGTGTGTGTGTGTGTGTGTGTGTGTGTGTGTGTGTGTGTGTGTGTGTGTGAGTGTGTGTGTGAGTGTGCATGTGGTGCCATGCAGGGAGATGCTAGCATACATCGCCAACACGCTCATCTTTGTCCTCAGGTACTCTTGCTCCCATTCCCCCCACCTCCCAATTCCCTTGGGCCTTGGCGTTCGTGTGTGAGCCTCTTGTGTCGCCCGCCCCGCCAGTTGCCTTTCCGACTGCCCCTTGAGTGGACTTCCGCGTTGGTCATGCTGCCACCCCCATGGCCTGCGCTCCTCCTTGTCCCCGTGCATGCAGTGGAGTGGTGATCGCCGAGAGTGTGCTGCACAACACCAGCCACATCCAAGGTGCCGCCCGCCTCTCCTGCCCTGTCTTCTGATGCTGCCCTGCCCGCCCCGCCGCTCTTGCCGCTCCTGCCTTGCCTCACCTGCGCTGCACACACACACTCTCCTCAAATGCTCTTTCAGCACAGCACAGCACAGCACAGCACAGCACCGCACAGCACAGCACAGCACAGCACAGCACTGCACAGCACAGCACAGCACAGCACAGCACAGCACAGCACAGCACAGCACAGCACAGCACAGCACAGCACAGCACTGCACCGCACAGCACAGCACAGCACCGCACAACACAGCACTGCACCGCACAACACAGCACTGCACCGCACAGCACAGCACAATCATGGCAGACGCTCGCCTTCTCTTCCGTCTTGCTCACACCCTCCTCTCCCCTGCCCTCCAATCGCCAGGCAGCGACTGGGGCTACATGCTGGCGCTGTTTGTGTTTGTGCAGCTGTCACGGGTGGTGGTGGTGGGAGTGCTGTACCCCGGGCTGGCCAGCAGCGGCTACGGGCTCACGTGGAAGGAGGCCATCATCCTCGTCTGGTCCGGCCTGCGCGGCGGCATTGCTCTCACGCTTGCCCTTGTCGTCAGCGTGAGTGCTCTTTGCTCTCTGCTCTCTGCTCTCTGCTGAGGGTGCTCTCTGCCATACCATTGGCCTCCAAGGCCCGCCGTTGCGTTTTCTTTCCCCTTATCTGCTGCCTGCTCTCATGCCCTGCCCTGCCCTGCCCTGCCCTGCCCTGCCCTGCCCTGCCCTGCCCTGCCCTGCCCTGCCCTGCCCTGCCCTGCCCTGCCCTGCCCTGCCCTGCCCTGCCCTGCCCTGCCCTGCCCTGCCCTGCCCTGCCCTGCCCTGCCCTGCCCTGCCCTGCCCTGCCCTGCCCTGCCCTGCCCTGCCCTGCCCTGCCCTGCCCTGCCCTGCCCTGCCCTGCCATGATCATACCCCCTGACTCTCCTCTCCCCTGCACCTGCCTCCCCCCCATGTCCCCTCCGGCAGCATGAGAAGCAGCCGGACAAGATCTCAGAGTCCACGTCAGCCAGGGTGAGATGCTCCGCTGCCCGCCACGCTCCACTCATCCCTGCTCTCTTCCTCGCCATCCCTGCTCTCTTCCTCGCCATGCCCTGTGCCCTGCTTTGCCCGCCTGCTCCCAACCCTCTCGCTCATACACCTCCCCCAATTCTTTCGCCTGCCCGCATTTCTCCCCCCTCACCCCCGCCCTCCACCCCTCGCGCCCCCCTTGAACACCTAGACCCCCTCCCCTCCCCTCCCCCGCCAGTTCATGTTCATGACGGGCGGCATTATGTTTCTTACGCTCATCGTGACATGTTCTCCACGTCCCCTCCCTTCCCTCCCCCCCTCCCCCGCCCCGCCCACCAGTTCATGTTCATAACGGGTGGCATCGTGTTCCTGACGCTCATAGTGAACGGCAGCACCACACAGTTCATATTCGCGGCGCTGCGCCTCAACCGCACGTCCAACGTCAAGAAGCATGTCATCCACTTCACACGCCGCGAGCTCTTTGATCACGCCGTGAAGACCTTTGAGGAGATCGGCGACGACGAGGAACTGGGGCCCGCGGAGTGGAGCACAGTGAGCGAGTACCTCACGTGTTTGGACCAGAAGGTGCTGGAGCCGGGGGGGCGGGGGGCAGGAGCAGGGCACCACGCGCACACGCGCGGCAGCCGCACGCACACGGGGTCGTCGCTGCACGCGCACGGGGAGGCAGGGGGGGAGGTGGACGTGGAGAAGCAGGCGGAGGAGGCGGTGCGGCAGCAGCAGCTGGCGGACACGCGCCTGCGCTTCCTGAACGGCGTGCAGGCGGCGTACTGGAGCATGCTGGAGGAGGGGCGCGTCAACCAAACAGCCGCCATGCTGCTCATGCAGGCCGTGGCCGAGGCCGTCGACCTCACCACGGAGCGGCACCGGCTGTGCCTGTGGGCGGCCATGCGCCCGCACGTGCGCATGCCGCGCTTCTTCCGTGCGCTGCACCGCTCGCTGCGCCCCATCCTGCCGCAGCGCGCCCTCAACTGGGTGACAGTGGACCGCCTGGAGCTCGCCGCCTCCATGAGCGCCGCTTACATCCGTGCCCTCCGGCAGACACGGCAGCAGCTGCGAGAGTTCCTCAGTGCGTGTTGCTTGCTGGGTTGAGTGGTTGAGTGATTGAGAGTTGCTCATGCAAAACCCCTGCCAAGAGATGGGTGCACACGACGCCCTGCTGAGAGCGTATGGTTCCTGTATGCCACCCATGCCCACCATGCCCCTCTCTCCCCTTCCCTGCCTGTGTGTGCAGAGGACAGCCCAATACTGGAGGCGGTGATATTGGAGAGCGAGGAGGAGGAGACGGAGGCGAGGAAGTTCCTGGAGGACGTGCGGCTCAACGTGCCCGAGGTCAGCCGTGCTCGCAGTGCCGTACTTCATCATCTTGTGCTGTGCTGTGCTGTGCTGTGCTGTGCTGTGCTGTGCTGTGCTGTGCTGTGCTGTGCTGTGCTGTGCTGTGCTGTGCTGTGCTGTGCTGTGCGGTGCTGTGCTGTGCTGTGCGGTGCTGTGCTGTGCTGTGCTGTGCTGTGCGGTGCCGTGCTGTGTGCCCACATACCTCCACCTGCGCCACTCACCTGTGTTCTCGCAACATGCCGTGCGCTGTGTGCCCATGCATGGTGGCAGGTGCTGACAATCATCAAGACGAAGCAGGTGACGCAGGCAATACTGGCGGAGCTGTACGGGTATGTGGAGAATCTCGACCACTCGGGGCTGCTGGACCAGAAGGAGGTCACCCTGCTGCACAACGCCGTCACGGTCTGCCCTCTCCTCGCCCTCGCACCCGCCATGTGCCGTATCACACAATGCCATGCCTTACCATACTATATCATACCATGCCATGCCATGCCATGCCACAGCATCTACGCCCACACTTTCACATGCCTCCTGTTCTCACAGTGTGGGCCCCTTGTCCCCCTTTCTCCCGGTTCTCCTGCAGGCGGATATGAAGAAGCTGCAGCGCAGCCCGCCGTTTGTGGCGATGCTGCCGGCGGGGGAGGTGTTGGCAAGGCAGCCGCTCATTGGAGCGCTACCGGCCGACATCCGCCTCGCGCTGCTGCAGCCGCTTAAGGAGGCCACCAAACTCTCCGGTGCCTCGCTCTTCCACGAGGGGCAGCCCACCCAGGGCGTCTGGCTCATCGCCTCCGGTACCGCCAAGGTCAGTCAGCACGGTCACATTTGCTCCCATGTGATTTTGGCCGATGCCCAGCACCAGACCGATGCCCAGCACCAGACCGATGCCCAGCACCAGACCGATGCCCAGCACCAGACCGATGCCCAGCACCAGACCGATGCCCAGCACCAGACCGATGCCCAGCCATTGGACATATCACTCGCACCTAGCTGATGCTTTGGGTCAAGCCAAGCGCACAAGAATATTCACGATGTTATGCTGCACCTGTGGCTTGTGTCAAGCCCATATCTGTGCACGGACACATGGGTGAGTGCCTTTCCACTCCACTCCAGTCGTAGACCCTGTTCTCTCTGCGAGCCACCCTCTGCCCTTGCTTGCCCGTGCATGCGCACATGTGCCCTGCAGTGGACGTCCAAGGCGGCGGAGGCGGAGGCAGAGGCGCACGGGCAGCACCTGATCCCGCCGCTGTTTGCACACGGCAGCTCCGTGGGGCTGTATGAGACGCTGAGGGGGTGCGCGCACCAGTACTCGGTGACGGCTGACAGCGTGCTGCACTGCTTTTTCATTGATAGACAGCGCATCATGGCCGCCAAGAGCAGCAGTGACGCCATTGAAGACTTTCTGTGGAAGGTGCGTTGGGATGAGAGGGGAGCAAGGGAGGTTTGAGGGCTGTGCGGGTGGGTGGGGGCGAGGGGTTGTAGGTAGTGTGGAGACAGGTAGGATGTTAGGGAGATGTGGGAGGTGGTTGAGTAGACGTTAGGCAGGATTGGACGACTGGGTCCTTGTCAGCACCACCACGTGTCACGCCAGTAAGACTGCACCATACTTCCCTGCCGGCTCACATGGCCTGCCCTGTCAACTCCCACTGCCCTGTCACCCCCCACCATGCACTCTGGTTGGCAGGAGAGTTGTTTGGAGGTGGCGCGGGTGGTGCGCCCCATGGAGTTCGGGCTGCTATCCATGCACGACCTGCGCGTGCTCTTCTCCCAGTCCGCGCGCCTCCTCACCCTCGCCCCGCACTCCCCCGTGCACCTCGCGCCCTCTGAGGTCGCGCTGCTGCTGCTGGGCGCCGTGCGCCTGCCGGGGGATGGCAGCAAGGGGCACGAGGGCGATGAGGGCAACGAGGGGGAGGAGGGCGAGGAGCAGGGCGAGGAGGAGGAGGGGGGTGGCGGGGCCGGCAGCCCTCAAGGTGCAGCTGTAGCCGCAGGCAGCCCGCAAATTGCTCCGTCCTCTTCTCCGCAACTTGGCGCGTCACTTTCTCCGCCAGCAGCCACGGCAGCGGGCGGGGTGGCAGCGGAGACTGTAGCCCCACCCAGCAGCGGCGAGGAGGGCAGCATGAACGGCAGCACGAGCGCCAGCAGCTTTGACGACCGCACGTCCGCGTCCATGGCCCTCTCTGCCACCGCCTCTGATGGGGCAGATGGCAGGGGCGACACAGCGTGGGGGGGTAAGGACGCGGAGGGGCAGGCGGTGCGCAAGGTGCGGAGCGAGGGCGTGGAGCAGGGCGGGGAAGGGGGGAGCAGCAGCAGGGGCAGCAGCGGGGGGTTCCTGCGCGCGCGCAGTGAGGCGCTGCGCAGCGGGCTGCGCAGCCTGTCCAAGGGCCGGCAGCGGCTGGTGCGCGCCATTAGCTCCAAGGACAGAGATGGGGACAAGGCGGGCACGTGGCAGAGCGGCAGAGAGGGCACGGGCAGCCGTGAGGAGATGGAGCTGGGGGTGATCGTGGAGGACGGGCGCATCGTGAGCATCCATGCCCCCGCTTACCTCACTCCCCAGCCAAGCCCAGGGGGGTTGGGCGAGGCGTCGTATGTGACGGTGACGACGTGCAAGCTGATGGTGGTTGACATGCCTCACACACAGCACTCCCTGCAAGGCACCCCCACACGGTATGCTGCCCCTGTGCATCCCTCTCCACTCCCCCCCCTTGACTGTTCTTATTGTTAATCACTTACTTGTGCATTGTTTGAACCGCCAACAAATGACCATGCGTGAATGCCCGCTTCCCCTCTGTTCCCCCACTGTCTTCCCCTCCACTGTCTCCCCCCACCAGCGCCTTCCATGGGCACCGCAGTGCACCTGCGCACGACGCGGCGACGCTGCTGCGGTGGCAGCTGGAGGGGGGCGCGGAAGGCGACGACGATGATGACGGGTTCATTACTGCTCGGCTCAGGGGGCGGGCGGGCGCTGATGCGCGTGCTCATGGCGCTGGGGGAGCTGCAGGGGGGCACCCGGGGAGCAGGCTGGGCGGGGTGCTGGGCAGCATGATGGGGGGCGGAGGGGCTGTGGCGGCTGGCGAGGTTGGTGACGTGGAGGACAGTGAGATGACGATGCCACGTGGCAGTGAGCTGGCTGCCATGCTGGCGGACCGTGTGGCGGTGGATCGGCAGCTGATGGAGCGAGCCATGCAGCTCAGTGTGTTCGGCAACAAGGTCAGTCACCTCCTTTCCATCCTTCCTTCCAAACCGACATTCTTTAAGCTTTCTCTCAACTGCTACTTTCCCTCCCTCTACCAGGCATATCTATGGATGAGCAACCTATTTCCTCCCTTCCTCATTGTCGCTCGCTTGAATGACCATCGATCCTCTCCATTGCTCATCACCGCTCTCCCCATTCCCCACTACCCGTCCTGCCATCGCCCACCTGCCCCACTGCAGATGCAGACGAGGCCGAGGCGGCCGTCAGAGGCCCATGCAGGACACCCTGCAGGCACCGCTGCTGCTGCCACTGCCCGTACACCCGTGCGCAGAAGCAGCACAGAGGCAGCAACACCATCATCATCATCAGCAGCAGCAGCAAGTGCCACCCCACCCTCCACATCATCACGACAGCCGCAGGAGTCATCGCTCGCAGCGCTGGTGGCTTCACTCTCTGCTGCAGCTGCTGCTGCCCCCTCCAACCCCTCCGCCCCTCCATCCCGCCCCATACCCGCCTCTGCCCCCTCCTCTGCCTCCGCCATCCCCCTCGACGCCTCCCCCCTCCTGCCCCAAAACCACAGCGCCTCTGCCATTCCCCTTGAGGGAGGGCAAGCAGAGGAGGCGCACCCACTTGTGGAGCCGGGGAGTGGGGTGGACGGGGGGAGAAGCGAGTGAGGCCGGGCAGCAGGGAGGGGTAACAACTGGGGCACTCCTGTGGGCAGTTATTCACTGGTTGGACCTGTGGTGCTGGCAGACCCCACACTGCCAAACCAAAGGGAATGCATTACAGTGATCAGGGAGAGCCAAGTGCATGTGGCTATTCACATGTGCTGAAAAGTCAGTGCTCTGGGCACTGTGGGCACGATCACCATGCCATCTCCTGGAGCCACAATTAGGAAAAACTAGATATAAGAATGTTATGTGTTTGATATGATTTGTGTTTCTGCTGCACGTGTTCCACTCCTGCAATAGTAATGTCGCCACAAATGTATAAACCTTGCAGTACATGTGCAATAAATGCTAACAAATGTTGCTGCTACTGGTGTGACTATATCTGTGGCAAGCTGCCTGAAAAATGTCTACCGGTATAAGGCACGAGAAGCAGATTGATCCACACAGCCTCCTCCCAAGCAACACTGGATGGCCGTCAAGCAGCTGTCCTCCTCTAGGTGCTCTTGGGTACCTACTCAGCGTTGAGTGACAGCGCGTGGTGTGGCGTAAGCAATGACATTATAATTTTTAAACACACATGTAGTGTTTTTTAAAATTGTGTATTGTGAAAGCGAAGCTGCTTGTACTGCACAATTGGCATCGTCGAAGCGCGCTAAACGCCCTTCTCCAACTACAAAAACCGTGGGTTGGAGCTCATTTCCCTCCACCCACGTTTCTCAATTTTCAAACGGCTCACTCAACATTTTCCGCTCGAGTAGTTTTTCCCTCCAAGCTGGCTAGGATTAAATCGCTTCCTAGAGGCGAGTCACCCTCTACTTTACTCAGCGACATTTTCAACTTCAATCGCTCAACGATGGCACCTACGCCGACACTTAACAACGGGAACTCGTCAACCCCCGCTTCCGACTCCGACCGTAACGCCCGCGATTCTGCGGGCGAACGCCGTAACAAGCGTCGGGCAGAAGACGGACCTTCCGCCCCGACTGCAGTGGACGTGCTGCTGGGCGGGCTCGAGGTCCACAAAAACGCCGAAACCCAGCAGCACCCTTCGGTCCCTGTGGCGCCAGTGGCGCCTGTGGCGCCAGTGGCGCCTGTGGCGCCAGTGGCACCTGTGGCGCAAGTGGCGACGGGGACTGGCGCGGCACACGCGACTGACGCCGAGCACACGCCAGCACCCGCTGCTGGACCGTCGCGTCAGCGTCAGAGGAGGCGGACTGCAGTCTCCTCGTCTGACGCGACCGCCGCCCCTGCGCTGACGCAGGCGTTGACCCCGGACCAGGTCAACGCGCTGCTGTCCCTTCTACAGCAGCAACCCGTCAGCGTTACAGCCGCGGAAACTGCACTACCCGCCGCATCTGCGTCGGCTAAAAAAGAAACTGCAAAAAAGGAGAAAGGCACACGGGGAGCACGGACGAACCGGCATGACAACGACGCAGCGACTGCCGCTCCCCCTGCTCCAGCGGTCGACAACGACACCGACGACTCTGAAGATGAAGCCGGTGAGGCTCCAGTCAACAATGTTAATTTTATTGGCACGGAAAACCTTCCCCCCCTCCCTTCTTCTAATCTTACCTTCTCGGCGGCAACCTTCGTCAACGACTCCGTGCGAGAGCAAGCGGAGCTACTGGAGGACCTGCGGGCGTACCTGCTGCACGCCGAATACAAGGCGCAGCGCGGTGATCCGGCGGGCGGACTCGAACTCATCTCACACGCTCTCAACCTCATCGCGGGGCGTTTCGAGGTGCTTCAAGTGGAGGACGCCTCCGACTTTCGCACGGCGAAGCGCTTTAAGCTGTACCAGCAGAAGAGCCTGCTGACTTCTCGACCCTTCAAGCAGGCGGTCGCGGACATGGCAGCGATGGACCGTGCGGCAAGCGGATACGCTCGTGTCAACCGCGGCGGAAACAACGGGCCGATGCCGTTCTTACCCAAGCGAGGCCCCCCGCCCACGGCCAATTGCCGTGGGTTCCGGGGCTCATGCTTCCGCTGCGGCCAGCCGGGCCACGTGGCAAGTGCCTGCCCTCGGAACGGGCATGGAGGCCAGGGACCCGCTCCGGTGGTGTAGGAGCGGGCCATGAGACTAGGCGCTTGGGCGCTAGGCACGGTGCACTCTTGAGTGCGAAAACCGTGGGCAACCCTAGGGGTTTGCGATGGCAAGAGGCCAGCCCTAGTAAAGGGTGGGATAGGCTTGGGCCTAGGATAGGGAAGGGGAACAACAACCCCTCGGTCCCATATGTTGGCCACGTGGTGGCATGCTAGGAAAGCATTGCTATGTGTGTTGGTTGATTTAATAAAAACTACATTCCTAAAGGCCTATGGTTTTGGCAAAGAGAGAATGAGAGAAAGCACAATGGACAACGGTGTCCATGGCCCTAGGCATCAGCCCCTACGCACTAAGGGCAGGCACAACCATGTCCTACCAAGTGGACGACGGGGCAAGAAAAAAAAAAAAAAAAAAAAAAAAAAAGGGGAAACGAGGAGAAGAAGAGACATGCGTTGACATGCGTTAATATTCCCGACACATTCGTTGACATTTCATTCAATTGTTCATTCTCTTCACACCTTCGATCAATGGTTGCCCGTACAAGTACATGCACACGTATGCTTTAACGTGGAATACTCAAAGCTTATACCACTTGGTCTCAAATGTACAGGAGCACGACGGTGCGAGGCGGGATGCCACGACGATCCGTACGAATTTGCCGTTACAGACAGAACTATTACACACATGCGCGGTCGTCTTCGCGCGACATTGGCGTGGTGGAGCTCATGGTGCCCCAGCAGCCTTGTCCTCTCCGTCATCGCCAAGGGTTACTGGTTGCCATGGAGCCACGGCCCACCGCAACATTTCCACGATCGCAATCATGTCGGGGCAAACACGCATGCCACGTTCACACGTACCGCCATCCAAGAACTCATAGAGACGGGAGCGGCAATTCCGATGGCCGCAACGGAGCTTACATGCATAAGTCCACTCAACGTGGTCGAGCAAAAAGACAAATGCAGGCTCATTCTTGATCTGAGGAAAGTCAACGCCAACTTGATCATCCCCAAGTTCAAGTACGAAGGGCTCAGCCGCGTCGCCGACCTTGCGCGCGTTGGGGACTGGATGTTCTCCATTGACCTCAAATCTGGTTACCACCACATCGACATCCACCCATCGTGCTGGAAGTTCCTTGGCTTTGAATTTGATAAGCGCACATACGCATTCCGTTCACTACCATTTGGCCTCGCGACAGCTCCATTCGTTTTCACGCAGCTCATCAAGCAACTAGCTCGGCGTTGGCGAGAACAAGGCATCCGAGTCGTACCTTACGTGGACGACATCTTATTTCTCTGCCAGTCGAAAGAGGACGCGCAAGCAACTTGCCAGCGGGTGATATTTGATCTTAAAGAGGCAGGCCTTGTGATAAACGCGAAGAAATCACAACTGTCACCATCGCAGCGTCTCCGTTTCCTGGGCGTAGAACTCGAGACCGATACCGGCCGATTCTCCATCGGTCCGGACCGACGAGCCTCACTACATGCAACCATCCGGAACCTCCTGAGCGCAAGCAAGGCATGCCGACCAGTCCCGGTCCGCCACGTGGCCAGAATCACTGGCATGCTCGCATCGATGGGTGTCGCACTTGGCGCGACAGCTCGCGCATTCAGCCATGCCATGTTACAAGTGATCGACGACGCACCGTCATGGAAAAGCAGCGTCGTTATCCCCCCATCTGCAGCAGAAGAGCTCCAATTTTGGCTCGAGGAGTTCGACCGTTTCAACGGCGCACCTTTTCACGTCAAGAACAGCTACGACGCGGTAATCCACGTGGATGCCAGCTCTCATGGTTGGGGCGCCACTCTGACCACATTTCCGGGTGGCATCGAAGAAGCTAGCGCAACCATGTCAGAGCCGCTACGAGGAACGTCCAGCACGCGACGGGAGATCGAAGGCGTCCTTTGGGCGCTACAAACGTACGCGAACAAGATCAAGCAAAAACACGTTCTCGTGCGGGTGGACAACCAGGGCGTATTCTTCATCCTTCGCAAAGGCGGCTCTCACAGCCCCGACCTCACAACGGCATGCAAGAGCATCATCCGAACATGCATGGCGCTTGGCACGCGCTTGATCATTGAATGGATTCCGCGCGAGCTCAACACACACGCCGACGAGCCTTCAAAAATGGTCGACCACGACGATTACGCGCTGAAAACGCCGTGGTTCCGGATCTTGGAACGTCGTTGGGGCCCTCACTCCATCGACCTTTTCGCAAACTCCCGCAACACCCAACTGCCGCGCTTCTGTTCAAAGATTCCCCACCCGGCAGCCATTGCAGTTGATGCGTTCTCGATCGCGTGGACACCTGAAAACAACTTCGCCTTCCCCCCACCTCAACTGGTCCCAGCCGTCCTCCATCACGCACAACGCACCCATGCATCACTCACACTGATAGTTCCGCACTGGCCAGGCGCAAGCTGGTGGCCACTCTTGCAACCCTCCCCACGCACTTGGGCACCACACATCCACGCGCACATCCCTCTGACACACGGAAGCCAATGCCTAGACGTAGGGTCCCATTCATCTGCTTTTTCGGGCATGGGACTTCCGCACAGCCCAATCATTGCACTGCGAGTGGCATTTGACTAACTCAAAATATATACACCTTGTGTTCAGATTTGCTCCCAAAGTTACACGACCAACTGATCAACATGCTCGCGCAGTCCCGCGCCGATTCTACGATCCGGACATATGAACCATACTGGGCCAAGTTTCGAGCCTTCTGCACAAAAGTGAACCTTCCATTCCTCCCGGCATCCGACATGACCCTCGCGCTATACCTGGTACACGCAATCCGACGCAAAGCCACCCTGTCCGTAGTGCAGCTAACCTGCTCGGCGGTCAGCTTCGCCCATCGCATGACCGGGAGCAAATGCCCGACAACCGGACCGTTCACCACCCAAGTCCGTGACTATGCAAAGCGACACTGCCCACGCCCTACTCGTCTGAAGGAACCCGT